GTCCTACTGCTATTGCAAAAAAACCCGTAGCAGAGCTGCAAACAATGTTGAGGAAGTGCCGAGAATCCCTGAACCCCCAAAATTGCCATGTTCCTGTAAATTAGGGCATAAGGTGCTTTGTATTCTCCGGTAGGATTTCCCACATCGAATGCTTGGTAGAACAAGAAGAAGCTTAGAGAAGCTGCAATGCATCCAATTGCGGTGCCCACCGCTTGGCTGATGAGCATTGAGCGAGGGGATGATAGGGTCATGTGGCCTGTTTTGAAATCTTGCATTAGAGTGCAAGAAACAAAGGCAACTGACTTGATGACGCCACAGCCTACAAGCCCTGCTACCAATCCATTGTCTTTCCCAGCAAGGGCAGCCAGGATGAAAATAGCAACTTTCCCATAATTGTATGCCATGTTCTGATCAGTTAAACCAGCTCCATATGCATTGGCAAAAGATATAATTGGAGAGAGAATATATGCTACAATGACATAGTACCATTTAATCTGGGGAAACATAAAAGGAATCACGATGGTGGAGACGATGGAGAGGGGGATGTATCCAGCGCCTGAAATCCACATTGGAATCCTTTCCCTTACAAAAAGTTCATTTTGTTTATGGAGATCAGGATTTATGTTTTGATTATTATCATCTGCAACAAAAACAAATCTTCTGTGCATTAAAATGTGGTTATTTTACAGCTTGGTACAGATGATTTTCTACTACTAACACAAAATTAAGGGACTTGTATTTGAAGTATGAACTTCTTAAGATAAAATTTACCTTTATTGGGGGTCTGGATTTTTGTTCTATCATGAATGTTTCTGATTATAATATAAATTACTTTGAGGAAGATATATAACCCATCGCCAAAAATGAGGGCGATGGAAATGAATACCTGCAGAAGTTATCCTGTTAGAGATCAGTTATGGAAATATGTTTCCCTACTAAATATTCAGGATTTGAATTGAGGATTCATATGCTTTAAAGGTTAATGATATTTGAGGTCACTTAGTTTTTAGGGCGGAGCTGTGGCAGAGACAGTTACCTTGTAGCCACTGAGTCCCTGCATGCTGTAACCTGGTAAACCTGCAGGGAACCAATTTCCTTCAAGTTTACTGATGAGTGGCCACATAATGCCCCATGAGATCACGGCTCCCAGAAGCAAAGACAGATTAACAAGATGAGAACAAATCATCCCTGTGCCAATATAAGTCAAGCTGAAGTCGAAGTAAAATCTGCAGTAATATGCGCAGAAAGTAAATCAGGCAAGTCAAGCAGGAATGTGGTTGTATTGCGAGTAGGATTTCTAGTTTGACGAGGGAAGAAAGAAATTACGATTGTTTCCAAGCTTGAAGGCCAAAAGTGGGGAACTGGCTGAATCCACAGTTTCCTGCTTTCCCAGTGAAAAACCACTGGAAAAAACCCCAAAGGAAACTGAATGAAAAGTACTTCATGAATCCTCGCACCTGCTTCCTGGGAACAACGTGCAAAGTTTTGATATAGTCTAGGCTATAGCATTGATTTGAACTAATAAAATGTTCGGAAATTTTTAGATTGATTTCTTTGTTCAGCGAAATTTATACTAATAGATCCTGCTTCATGAGCATAATCTTGGTATAACAGAGTTGTAACCTTGAACAGCTTTAACTTATGTATTCATAATTAGGCGTGTCAATGGGTGAAGAGGACTTTAAAAACATTTAAAATAACATTTTCTCCATTATGCTCAAGAGGTTCACAATCTGATGAAATCTGGGACAATGCTTTCTACATTGAGGGATGATTCATCATGCATAGGGGGTGGACTCTGAAGTCCATCCACATTGCATTCTTTTTTAAGTTAAGTTCGAAGCTTGTTAAGTTACAAAATAAGTATTATCTGGCCAAGATGAAGAGATTTTGCCGGAGAGAAGGGTTCTACTATATGTGGATGGCTTCTACTTCTCCGGGAGGGGTAAGGGCAAATTGTTAAGGTTCGGTCCCCTTGTGATCTCCCCTCTGCATCTTATAGAGGTTGTGCCCATAATCTTACGGAGTAGTTAATAACCGAGATTTACCTTCCCCTTCTACCTTGTTGAGGGTCACCACTTGACCATATTTCCTTACCTACACTATGCCTCATGTTTATTGAGATAAGCATAAGTACATTGGTACTTCTTGTGCCAACTAATAAATACAAGCAGTGACAACAACTGACAAGAACTTTCTTGTTTTTTTATTTTTGGCGGTTTGATGTATCAATCATGAAAATGATTGAGCTACTTCAAACTTTTAAAACATTTTTATGAACACCTAACAATTTCACCAAAATAACACCTTCAATTTTGCCAAACATAAAGAGATGGTGGATGATATACCTTGACAGTTTATCTCCCTTTGAATGAAATCCATTAATTAGAACAGCAGTTGCCAAGCCACTTGGGAAGGGCAATTTGTAGTCAACTATCAATATCTTCAAGACATCAAGATTGAACATTAGTGAAGGGATCATTTTCGCCACGCTATATAGTCAATTAACTAAGTGTGAAAGGAAGAAACTTAATTTACCTTCCGAAGTGGGATCAACACAAACAGTCCAACAAAACAGACAATCAGGTTATAACCAATCACCCAACCGAGTTTTAGCTCCATATAACTTCCTGGGTGGTTCCCTGGTGTGTTTACTCCGGCAAGCTCGTATGTTTTCTTGTTAAGTGCCAACAGATAAGCCCCATATCCACCTGCAAAGCAATCAAATGTTGAACAAAGAATAATCGTTGAGCTAAGTGACTTCGTTGTTGAGAACAAAAATGACAGCATTGCATTTTCAGACCTGAAATGGATATGCTGTAGCAGGCAACAGCACAAGTCTGAATCATGGTATTTTCCTGTCTAGTAAAAGGCACAGACGAAAACGATGTCTTCTGAAGGATCTTAGTCCATGATTGTATAAAAATGAACGCGAGAAGAGCAACCGAGACATTCAGGTTAGGACTCAGACCAGTAGTGAGGCTTATCCTCATTATAATGATGCAGTAGAGAACACCTATGATTGTACTTGCAACCAAACCTCGTATCGTAATCTGTTTATTCCATGGTGGGATTTTCTTCCTCGAGTCGAATTCGGACTCCTCATGTTGAGCCTCCTCCACCTCCAACCGCTGTATCTCGGTTTCTGCCCTCCTCTCATCCCCCATGTTTTCTGAGTGATGTTGGTCAGATCAGAAAATATGAGTGATAAAAGAGTGGGAGTTTTTGGACTTTGTTTTGTGCAATAATAACTCTTCCCTACTAATATGGAGTATATGTATAACAACTTTGTTACAAAAAGACTGTGATGTGAGATTTGGTGACTTTTCAACTCTATAAAATTGTAAAATTGGGAAAATATCAAAAAAAAAAAAAAAAAAAAAAAGGATGGAATCAAAATTCAAATCCACATGTCAAGTATTGTTGTATAGTTGACTCAACTGTGTGCTGTATTAGCGGGATTGATAATTCTGCAACTTGCTACGGAGTATTCCTATGTACGTAATTCTCTCAAAGCAATTTTCGGGTGACACTGAAAAATTATTTGACTCTGCAATTCCTACATAATTCCGGCTTCTTATCTCATGGTACACACTTTGAGGAATGAATGGATACTCCGTATTTATCGATATAATTTATGCATGATACCTAATCCATCTCTATGTCCTGTGTTTAGATTATTTTGATGGAGTCGTTCCCCGTTCGTTTAATACTCCCTCTATTTTTAAATACTTTTCTATTTATTCATAATCGGAGTTTTAGGAAAAAGTAATAAAATATAAAGGATGTGGAGTAGGTAGAAGAATAAAAAAAGTAAAAGTTGTTGAGAGAAATGAATTAAATATTGTAAAAAAATTTCAAATAAAGAAATGAAGCAAGTATTTAAAATTGGTCGGGAAAAAAAATGGAGAAGTATTAGGCATATGGGGAAAAACTCAATCTCTTTATAAAATAGATCATTTTTAATATTTTGTGTGGTTAATTTTTGTAAGTTTGTCTTCTCAATTTTATTTTTTTTTTTTGCTTTTTTTTTTCATTTGTACAGCATCTTTAATGATTGGATAAAATACTTCCTCCGTTCTAATAATTACGCAACAAGGATGATGAAATTACGCATCTCAAGGCACATTTTATATGTCAAATATTTATAATTATATAAGAGTAAAATTTATAAAAAGTTGATATTATATAAGTATTTTACGAGACAAATCTAGCAGGATCACATGAATATATTTTTACTTAATATATCAATTATAATACGTGGTCAAACAAGCATGATAAATACGAAGTAGTGTATAAGTGCAGATTTTACAATATTTGTGGAATGGAGTAAGTATATGATTCTTGAGATTTTACTTTATATGTGTACACTATTGTTACAGATTAGATCGTAAGAGTAGTCAGTAGTACTACAAAGAGTGATAGTAGGAGATATGCATGGGATATACATTGACTATTTATCATCGACCTATCTTATTCATAGACATAGACAAATTTATGTTGTATTTTCTTTCTTTATATATATTGGCTTCATGCATACATAGATCAAATTACAAACTTTTCATATTGAATTTTATTTTATGTCAGATTTAAATATGGATTATGAAGGTCCATATGTTATTACTCGGACTCTTTCATTTACCTCACGTGTCCGTGTCGACACGACATGTGTCGGACACTGACACCGACACTTGGACACTTCATTTTTAACTAAAAACATAACTTTTTTCAAGAAAATGGGTGAGTTTGATGCTTCACACTTCTTTCGAGTCCAAGTAACATAGCGATATGTATATCACTCTAATCATTATGGTCAGGACGGTAGTCGTCCTGCTCTTCCCTGTTATGCTCCTTGTCAAAATTTAATCTATGGACAAAGGGATGAACAGTTTACTACGGAGTTTATTTTTTTAAAAATTATCATGAAGGATAAATCCGTTGAATTTAAACATATCCTTTAGCTAGCATAAAGAAATCATCAATGCATAAGACACTAGAAATTCTAGAAAATTGCTGAATTAAGGATGATGAAATGCATTTTGTGCTGCATCTAAAATTCTGAATAGAAAATGTATACATTATTGAGAGTGTTAAAAAAGAAACAAAAACAAAAACAAAATTATGTGTGTTCCTATTACAGAATGTCCTATTTCTTGGAAGACAAAAATGTCATGCAAATTGGAGGATTAATATTGGCCAAAGCAAGAAATGAAGCAGGAAGAGACCAGAGTCCTTCACCACAGATCAAACCAGAAGCCACAGCCGGAACCATCAGATCAGCCTGATTCGGATTAATCCGATGCCACACGTACACCACTAAGCTCCCTACACACATGTCGATGGCAAAGTATCCACCTACTAGAAATGGCACTGCCATAACCATTGGAAGTGGCATCCATCTTCCAATCTTTGTAGGACATAGATCTCTAATTAAGTCAGCAAATATTGCAAACGCGAAAAAACCACAGCAAAGCTGCAGACAATGCTGTGGTAAAGCAGAGAAGCCTTCAACCCCTAAGATTGCCATGTTCCTATATATCAAAGCATAAGGAGCTTTATATTCGCCGTTGGGGTTTCCCACATCAAATGCTTTGTAAAACAGGAAGAAACTAGGAGGGGTGACAATACATCCAATGACTGTCCCAATGGCCTGACTGATCAGCATTGATCGCGGTGATGATAATGTCAGATGGCCTGTCTTAATGTCCTGCATCAATGTACAAGAAACTAGGCCCATCGATTTGATGACCCCTGCACCTACAAGTCCTGCGACTACACCATATTTTTTCCCTGCTAAGCTAGCTAGCACAAATAGGGCTACTTTGCCATAGTTGTATGCCATGTTCATGTCTGTTAGTCCAGCTCCATAGGCGTTGCAGAAGGCCAATGCTGGTGCAAGAATGTAGGCTACGATAACATAATACCATTTTATTTCAGGGAACAACATTGGGAGGGCAATGACAGTTACAGTGGAGAAGAAGAGGTAGCCACTGGCTGCTACCCACATTGGTATGCTTTCCCTGATAAACACCTCGTTCTGCCTTTCGATGTTAGGAGCTTTGCTTTGACCAATTGTTTCTGCAACAAATAAAAAACAATGCACTTTCATCTCTATCAGATGGGAGTATAATCTATAAAGACATGTCTGTAATTTACAACAGAAAAGCGGAAAAGTCACCTGCATTCAGGACCGCCTTTTGTCTCATTCTACCACGAACATTTACAAGGATGATAACCATCACTTTGAAGAAGTTATAAAACCCGTCTCCAAATATGAGAGCAATGGAAATAAAGACCTGTCAAAAACATGTTTCTTTGATTAATTAGTGATCAGTTGAAAGTAAAGAGAAGATGTTCAGGTAAGAAATGAGAGCTTAATAACCTTGTAGCCATTCAAACCCTGCATGCTTTCATCTGATACACTTTCAGGGAACCAATTTCCTTTTTGCTTGTTTATGAGAGGCCACATCAGTCCCCACGAAAGAACGGCTCCAAACAACAAAGACAAGCTAACAAGATGAGAACAAATCATCCCAGTTCCCACATAAGTCATGCTAAAATCAAAGTAAAATCTGCACAAAATCGCAACATAATCAACATTTTTTTCCTAGTAGTTAGTATATATGATTATTGAGCTGAAAGATATGATGCAGGAAGGTTACGTTTGCTTCCAAGCTTTCAGTCCGAAGGTAGGGAATTGAATGAACCCACAGTTCTCTTTAGCAGTATAAAACCATTGGAAAAACCCCCAAAAGAAGCTCAGCGAAAAGTACTTCAAAAATCCGCGTACTTGTTTCCTGAACCAAATTAGAACCTATGCTGTGAGTATTCTTCCCTTAGGAATCAAGCACAGCTCAATCTACTTCTGCAATTCCACTAGACTACAGAAAGGATAACTACTAAGATTATTAAAGCATAAAGCAACTTGCCGCTTGAGTTATATATGAGTTATGTGCATACTTTGCCATTTTATCTCCTCTTGTATGGAATCCATTGATGAGCACAGCAGTTGCCATACCACTTGGAAATACTAAATTGTAATCGATTATGAGTATCTGCAGATAAGAAGTTTAGCTTTCATAAGCACGCGTTGTCATGTACAAATAATACAATATATAAAGCTAACAATTTTTATGGAAGCACCAAAACAAATGAACCTTTTTCATACCTTTCTTAGGGGGATCAACACAAAGAGACCTACGAAACAGACGAGGAAAAGATAAGCTGTCATCCAGCCAACTTTTAGTTCCTTGTAACTTTCTGGAGAATTCCCTTCCATGTTAACACCAGCTAGCTCATAGGTCTTCTTGTTCAATCCCAAAAGGTAAGACCCGAATCCACCTGTTCAGCAAAGAAAGGAGGAAAACACAACAGAATGATCATATATATATATCTGAATTCGAGTTACAGCAATAAATATAGATAATAGAGACAGAAAGTGGGGGGTTTCTGAACCTCCAATGGCTATGCTATAGCAAGCAACTGCACAGGTCTGAATCATGGTGTTTTCCTGCTTAGTGAAAGGTACAGGAGAAAACCCGAATTTCTTAAGGACTTTGTTCCAACTCCTAACGAAAACAAAGGCCAGAAGAGCAGCAGAGACATTGAGATTGGGACTAAGACCAGTAGTAAGGTTGAGCTTCATTGCAATGATGCTATAAATCGCGCCAATGATTGCACTTGTCACTACTCCTCTCACTGTAATCTGCTTATTCCATGGTTGCAGTCTTGTTAGTGTTACTGCATCATCTGATAATCCACCTTCAATCTCCTCTTCCCTCGCGATCTCTCTCTCATCTTTCTCCTCTCCCATTTGATGTATCATTTTCCTCTCAACAGTACACAATTCACTGAAGAAACAAAAAAAACACTTCAAATACAACACTACTTAAAACTACTGCTAATATACAATACAGCAGTATATATATCAAACTTCAGAGCATGTCAGAAATCCCCTGAAGTTAAATGATGTAAACAATTCTTACATACCTTAACAGAATCAGGATGACAAATTAGGCACGTCCTAAGTACTCAATCATTAATGGTTCGGCTTTTTCCTCTTCGTCGATCAAATCTAACCACTAATGCAGCTAAAGAAGGTAAGATCACTACAAGAAATACCAACTAACCTTCCCACTTTATAAAGTTATTAAGTTCTTGAATCAGCAAGCTAAGACTAAGCAAACATGAATAATGTTCCTTTTGTCTGTCCTAAAAAAAATATATCTTTATGTGAATCTATAGATCTTTGACGATTATATTAAGTTATAGATAAATTTTAGATTAGTTGGCATAAGATTTCATTGTAATTATAGCAATATTCTTGGTTGAAGAAGAGAGTTGCCTAGGAAACTCATGATGTATAGACTTGACGTTGGAATTATATGCTTAATAGGGATATTTTGTCGTGTGGTTACAAAGGAGTGTGGCCAGCACGAGATAAGGCTGGATGAGAATAATCGAACAAATGTAGCACACTCATACTCATCAACTTACACAATTTTTAGTCAAATTCTTCAAATCAAACTGTATACTAGAGGTCATCACATCTCCACAGATATTGTGGAAATGTGGAATAATTATATAGGGTGAGTCATGACTTATGGAGTATACGCCTCTTTAAAATATCACTGCGTTGATACGTATCAAGTCAAGGTATAAACATCTTAAGTTAAGGTTTGTTTTTTTAATTTTGAGTATCGAACTTTTTACTTTTCTAAATTACCCTTAATGGTTATTCAATATGGAGTAGTAATGAACGATCTTTGTCTAATACCGTGAAGAATCAAGAATTAGGTTCATCTTGAACTGAAAGCATAGGATCAATAATCATGTAATGTAACAAAAGATGAAAGTGATGTCTCAAAGATAAGCATACACACTATAACTAAGTAAGTTACATGTCATGTATCTTTTGTGGTTGTCAATAATTTTTAAATTAATCAAGATTCTGAATAATACATTTTCACATGTACTAGACCTTTTTGTTTCTTCAAATGAACACCCTTCCACTATCAATGGCTTGGACAAACTCTTGGTGTTTTTTTCCTTTTTTTTTTTTTAGTTTTTTTATTTTATTTTTTACAATGCTACATTTTCTTGGCCTTTTTGTATAGGCCATTAGGCGTTATTCGTATTTATTGCTAGATATCAATCATATACTCATATATATGGACCAAATTTAAAAGTTACATTGTATTCCATATTCTTTTGGCAACTTTGCAATCAACACATAAATTCTCAAAGAAAAAATTTCAATGTTGTCTTGATTGTAGATAATTTTTGATTGTTGATAAGACAAGTACTCATTCTAGATGATTTTTGTATCCTTTCCATATTTTCTGAATTTTCTTTAGCTTGATCTTTAGGAGTGCTCCATTATTGATTAAGATTTTTCTACACTTGGAAGACCATAGTTACCTTTACTTTGGGCTTAATCTGATTTACTGAACTGAGCTGAACTAAATTAAAATGAACTGAACTGAACTAAACTGACTGGATTGGAGCTGAACTGAATTGAATATTTTACGAGAGAAGAAAATTAGGAACTGGACTGAAAATAAGGTGAAGAGAACATACCCTTTGTGTTATAAAAATATATGATTGGTTTTCAAGAGCGTTAACATGAACCGATCTAATCACAGCAATTGGATAGGAAAAGCCAATTGCTACAATTGGATCCAACAGCAATGGAGGCCCACCCTTCTTTATTTACACTACGAATAAATTGTAAAGTTGTAAGACAATGGAACAACTTGTAACTTTGTAATATAGTAGATGACATCCCTGCCTCCCTGGATTAAAAATCTTAATAATTTCAATTGACATGTACGTGTTAATGTGCTAATAATCTCTTTATTCCTTGAATTTTGGATACATAAATTACGGAGTACATCAATGTCAAGTTAAAATAATTGAGGTTTGTCAAGGGGATAAATTAAGTACTAGTGTACTACCAATTCAAGTTGGTTTGGTTATGCCAATATAGGAGCGAAAGATGTGGCCGATTATAAGCTTTTAAAAGTGATTTTTTACTTAACATTTGAAACCTAAGTACCATTATAGAGAGCTATGATCTGAAAATTTGTCACGGGATTATAAGTATACTTGCATAAAATAATTTTTCGTCAATTAATTTGGTAGATGACAGGAGATAATGACATACAAGTTGTATTATTGTTTAGACAATTGGATAATTATATTTTCTATATTATCACTACGGAATAATAATGGATTAATGGATAAATTTATTACTCATCTTTCATGCTACGTAAATTTCAAAATTTTATAAAAAAAATTTAATTTCTTATTTTGTTATACGCTGTCACATACTCCCGATTTCAAGGATTATATTGTTGATTGAAAAAAAAAAAAAAAAAACTCACTCCCCTTGATTTAATTTTGAGCCATTTTGAAATAATCAACTCAATTCTACACTATTCGTAATGTTAATATATGAGACTATTATTCCATACACTATATACCCTTATTTTGGGACGACAAATCGGCAATGAAAAGGAGATAAATTCACTAACAAAGCATATAACGAGGTTTCATCTTAAATCCAATTAGCCCTAGGAAGAGTACCCCGCTTAAACTATGAAGTGAAAGTTTTTTACTTTTATCTTTTAATTTCAATATAAGACGCATAACATTCACACACTTGTAACAAAAATAGTCTCTCAAATAAAGTGAAGACTGAAGTATTATTCTTACAAGTTGCAACCTCACAAGCTAAAGATTTAAGTTGGTAAGAATTTGTATGCATAGAACTTATGCTACTGCTGGATTCTTTGAATTTATAGTCTGGGGAAAAAGAAAGGTATAGCATTTCACGGCTTCTCTGCATTATTTTGTAAAAGTATTTTTTGATTGATGATTAGATGGTTATTCAACAAGTAAAAAAGGGAATTCGAATACTATTACTTTCAACTTTGTAAACAACCAATGCAACTAGCATGGATTCCATTATAATGGTGATATACATATAGCATTCTCCTTTGAATTGGGAAGGTTTGTGTCTTAAGTTTATTCTCAATTTATTAAATTATTAGAGAGATAATAGATTTGGATAATACTTTGTAAGAAGTATTAATAGAGTTTTGGAAAGGAGCTGAGGTATATGATCAATTATAAAATACAAAGTAGATAGGCTTAATGGCGGAAAAGAAACTAATTAAACTTTGAAAAAATGATGGAAATTAAATATACAAGCATAAATTACTATTAACCATGTCTGGATCTCATAAATTCTCACAATAAGTACAGATCGGATTAAAAAGCACACTTCAAGCCAATAAAGACTAATATGGTCAACCAAGGGATCGGGAGAGAATTAAAGTTATTGGAGTATCCTCCAAATATACTTCTCATTTCATGTTGGATCAAAAGATAAAATTGCAAATGATTCTCATGTTACATTTTGATCAAATTACACTAATCACTTTTCATGTTTTCCCTCATCCTCATGCGAGGAGCCGAGGAGAGAGCACTTAATTTTATTACGGAGTATTTTATTTCAAGGAAGTTCACTTAATACACCGAAACTTAACTCCAACTACATCCAAGGAGTATTACTCATGACTTATGATCAGTGAGTCTCCCAACAGGAACTTATGTATACGAGGAGGGTCGATGTTGGAAGACTAAAGAGAGCACTCAACACTTTAGACTTGATCACTTGAACTACATCAACTTGTAGTGTTATCACTTGGGGTATCGGACACTCACTCGAGTCACTCCTAATGCTACTCCAAAGATGATACCACGTCTCACCATCACCTCCCTCTCCCACCCTCAACCCTTGTTCATCCCCCTTTCTCCTCCCCCTAAACCCTCGCAAACCCCTGCACATTCTCTCTCCTCCGCCCCAACCGCCGACTCCGGCCTCCAATTCCGCCGGAAACTCATCTACCTCGAATCCCTAAACGTCAATTCCCTCAAAGCCCTCCGCCAAAACCCCCAATTTCGTTCTTCTTCTCTTGAAACCCTAAAATCCGTCGAAAATTGCCTCCTTTCTTTCGGAATTCCTCGTTGTTCTCTTGGCCGGATTCTTGACATGTACCCTCAACTCCTCACCTTCGATCCCCACCTCCATCTTTACCCAATTTTCGATTTTCTCATTAACGAGCTTCAATTACCCTTTCCTGACGTCAGCAAAGCCATTATTCGGTGCCCTAGATTGCTCGTTTCTAGCGTTGATCTTCAATTGCGTCCCACTTTTTTGTTTTTGAAGAAATTAGGGTTTGTGGGTGAGGATAAAATCGATTGTCATACCTCTGTTTTGTTGGTTTCCAGTGTTGAAAATACCCTAATTCCTAAAATGGAGTTTCTGGAAAGTTTAGGGTTTTTGGAATTTGAGGTGGTTAATATGGTGCTCAGGTCACCTGGGTTGCTAACTTATAGTATTGAGAATAATTTTAAGCCGAAAGTTGAGTACTTTGTGAAGGAAATGAAGAGGGATTTGAAGGAAATTAAGCAGTTTCCGCAGTATTTTTCGTTTAGTTTGGAAGGGAAGATAAAGCCGCGGCATCGGTTGTTGGTGGAGCATGGGTTTTCAATGCCACTTAGGGATATGCTGAAGGTTAGTGATGGCGAATTCAATGTTCGGTTGCTAAGGATGAGATTGCAGCTTATTAAACAGTTGTAGTAAGTTGCATTTCCTCTTTTGTACATTGTATTTATAGAATCATAGTTAGCATGTATTGATTTATGTGTTGTATGGTTTTTTTTTTTTTTTTTGTATATTTTGTCTCAATTAGAAGTTTTCTCTTTGTAAAATTGTAGTTTATGATTGGAGCAATTGCAGCAATGCAAAATTTGTGTATCAACATGCTTTGTATATTGTAATAGTCCTTACATATTACATAATTACATTGAGTGATGGTGATATACATGAATTCTTAGGTCTATGATTCGGGTGAATAATGTATGTATGTTAAGTAATCTTGTTTCTTTGTTTGACATCATGGATTAACCTTATGTATAGTTTGAGCATCCTTAATTTTCTATAAACACTCAAATCTTGTAGCAAGATCTATGTATTGTTATTTTTAATGCCTGAACAATATGTTGATTGCGTTTCATATGACTTGTACTCAGTTTGAAAGCTTTAGGTTGTGAAGCCTTAGACAACTCTAATTGTAATGTCGTGATACGCCGTCTGCTCTCAATTCATCTGTCTTTCTCTTCCAATCTCACCAATGTTCAAGATCTCATCTAATCCTTTGCTATTTTCTAGCTTTACATCCATGTCATAGTGCCCAAAAGCTTAAACTTGAATTATAGGTCTATTATTGCTTGTTACAAATGTCTTGCTGAAAACCAGCAAGATGGCCATGTTTAAGTGTTGCAATATTCAGTTCGAGTAATAAACATAGAGGGAATGAATTTCAATCTTTCATTACCCTAACAAAATTGATCCTGCTTATGGAGCTTTAAGACGTTCCTCTTTCAACTTGATCTCTGTTTACTCTTCTTTATGGTGGGTTGCATTCTTGAAGAAGACTGCTGTTGGAGATCCACATTACCCTCTAGTAAGTTATGGTATGTTTAGTAATGCTGGTTTTTAAGATCTGTTTCCTATGCACTATGCTGGATTTTCCTATCACCTAGTTGGCTTTATTGGAGAACCACTTCTTTAAGTTACCCTCCTCAGTTCCTTTTGATTCAACTGGGTGTAATTTATGTGGATTGTACCTTGATTTGGTTTTTTAGATATTATGATTGAAAAATGCTCTCTATATGCTCTGTTGATAATTGTGTTGTGCCATAGAGCCTAGTTTATTTATCATGTCCAACTTCGATTCAAATTGCTTGTGCTAGTATCAAGTCATTATTATTCTGGAGAGTATTGTTATGAAGTACTGTATTAGATGCTGAACTGATACTTTGGTCATTGGGAATAAACTTACAGTTGGAGTGATCTTGCAGAAAGCCCCCATGTGTTTTTATGAGGGCTCATTAATTTGGGTATCAAATTAAATGTCAATATGAAATTTCTTAGTCATGTCTCTTAGACTCAATTCCTTTGTTTAGTACTTAAATATAGGTCATTTTTAAGCATTTTGGTGATGCCTGAGTTGTAACCCGATTAGGGTTACCGTAGAGTAAATTCGTCCATTTATATACTCTGCAGGTGGTAGAGTAAATAGATGTTATCTTCGATGACTTAATATTACTCCGTAGTGTTCTATTTAATGATCCTAGTTGTGCTTAAACTAAAGAAAACTTGTGTGTCAGACATTCTATCCGTGGTACGAACTACATATTACTCTAAATTGTAGATCATAGTTGTACTCTGTAAACTATTTTTAGGTCCTGATTGGGTATAATTGTATTTGGGATTTCAAACGTGAGTATAAGGCATTCATCTTTGGCTGGTCCTCTAATTATAAATTTCCAGTTTTTTCAAAGCTGTAAGATTCACAGTGCAAGGCCTGCAGGCTGGTTAAGTTATTACTCTGTATTTTCAAAGTTTATCATTCAGTTATAGTATTTTTAAGTCTTGTAAACTTGTAATGGTTGTTTGCGGCCCAAAGATGAACATAAATGGAACGCTGAAGACATGAACTTCTGTACAGAAAGGCTGAAGACATGTACTGTAGTGGTATTGGGGCTTGAGTGTCTCGACAATGTAAAGTTGCAAACTTGACTGTTTGTATACTGTAGTATTCTTGTATGTGTTTTATGTTCAGTTCACCTTAAAAAAAAAAAAAAAATTTAGTAAAATTAATTTCAATTCAGTAAAAATAATTTTAGTTCGGTTATTCGGTTATTCGGTTGTATATTGTATATTTGTATCGGCATATTTTTTAATAACATGGGATTTTTTTTTTTGAATGAAAAATATATGGTTGGAAAACGGCTTTTCAGATGTCAAAATGGGTAAAAATTTAACTGATTTATGTACTAGCATTATCTCAATGGCTATTTTTGTTTTTTGTTTTTTTTTAAATTTTAATTTTATAAATTTATTTGTTTACTCGCTTTATTTTAATATGGTCATAAATTACATTAATACCGCAAACAAATGGATTCGATCAAATACTTTTTGTTAATACTCAATACAAACAGTTGACTTTTAAAAAAAAAAATACTTGTACTTTGTATGAACTACAGAGCACAAACAAGTGAAGTAGTGACCCTTCACTTCTTTAGTGAAGGTCAATTAATGTCATACGGATTATTATTATTATTATTATTATTATTATTATTATTATTAGGATCTTGCTAACGAACGCCCCGGGACGTTAGATAAGGATAAATTATATTGGTTGAAATGATATTAAATTAAGAATTCATGACAAAATTACGCGTCGTTCGGTGTAATTAATGTTAATTTTACTCTAATATTTGCACTTTAATTCTCTTATCTAACGCCCCAGGGGCGCTCATTAGCTTTTGCCTTATTATTATTATTTTATTTTTTTTGAGAAGCTAAGAAGAAATAAACATTAGGAACCCTCTTCATGAGGCGAATTCCTAATGTATCAGAAGAAAGAATAGAAAACAAATTAGAGTTATTACAAACATTTATATCCATAGTACTACACACTAACTGGCCAACATTAGCTATCCAATCCGTTGTGCGATTTGCCTCTCGGTAGATGTGATGGATACTCCTATTGTGAAATGAGAAAGAATAGAACGAGTGTTTTCGATAATATGTTTAATCTGCCAATGTACTGCCCAAATTCCTTTTATTGAGTTGATGACTAATAGATTACCACCTTCAATTTCAATGTCTTGAATGCCACATTGAAGAGCTAGTTAAACTCCTTTATGTAGAGCTGTAGCTTCCATTATAAAAACATTAGCGTTGCCGAGGTTGAATGTAGATGTCTCGATGAGTGCTCTGCTGCTATCTCTGATGATAACACCTGTTGCTGCTGAGTTGTTACGACTGAACCGTGGAAGTTGAGCTTGAAGAAGTTGGGAGGCGTCTTCCATGATATAAGAATGAATGATCTCATATACCTTCTGTAAACACACACACACACACAAAAAAGGTACAGTTGAGCTTATAAGCAAATACAGTACAGACCATTAGTAGATAGAAATTGGAATAACTATCATCCTACTTCAAAGATGATCAACCTTTTTCACTATAGATATAATTAAATTTAGCAATTTTTATGCGCGATTGACCACACCGTGTGGCCAGCTGAGACCCATCAAGTAACCCTTGATCAACGAGTAACCCCTATTCGGTCAACTAAACCCTGATGGATATTAAGTTTCAAAATTGTCAACACAAGCTTATGGAGCATGTGTCAATGGATACATAATACCCTTTTTCGCCGAGAAATTTTTGCACCGAGCGAAGTTCAATTGCTTCTAATTCTTGCAGTTGTTTTAGGAGATCAAATACAGTCTCATGGTACAACTTCCTTTTACAACAGTTGAGGTGGTTGAATAAAGAATCTAAGTAAAGTTTAGAATATACTAGTATATTTTTGTGTATATATCATCTCATTTATGTTAGGCTTTGCAACACAATTAATACGGTCACAAACAAACATACACACCACAATATCATACACTTTTCTTTAATATCCCTTTCAAACATTTAAAAAATTAAGTAGATTTCCGAGAGTATGTTTTCAACCCCCTTTTCCCTTACTCTTTCAAATAAGTAGCTACCTTGTTAATGTAAACACATTAGCTTGAAATGAACCTGTGATACCTTGTTAATTAAACACATTATCCTAAAATAAACTAGTGATGACTCTGATGAGTAAGCAAACAACAATTAAAAATATAAAATGGAAGGTTAAATTGAAATAAATTAAAAGCATATATGACAATTTTAGTTATAAATGCAGAGTAATAATGCATGATGTTAAGTTGATTACATCCTTTAATGAGAAATTCAAAATATATGTATTCTCCTTGTAATCGAAATGACGACAGCGATTACGGGCAAATTATAAATAGTCAAACTATCATAGTTGTGCTTGATCTTTTATTAATGTGTGAATCTTGCCAATAGACATTAATGACACACGTGAGGTTTTTTAATCAGATTCCGTGATTATTGGTAAAGGTAAATTCCAACTACTGTACAAAGACTATTTATTATGGTGAACCTTATCAACTCTAAAAATAGCAATAATCATAACAGACTAAGAAATTCTATCATTAAAAATGCTTAAATTTCTTGCAAAGATCATGCTAGACATTTTAAACTACAACCTCTCAAAAGTCCAATAATATTTCTTCTATAATGTTATTTAATATATACATCTCACTATTAGAAGATATCAAACAATACAATTATCAAAACATTGAAATCATTATAGTGGCGTGAAACAGACACACACCCTTATAACACAAAACACAACAATACAACATCATTACCCTTTTAAGCAACTCAATTAACAAGTCCTAATTCACATTAAATAAAAAATAAAAACATAAAAAAGCCTTTTAATGGCCCAAAATCACCCAAAAAATAATTTCCATAATTGTCAAGATTACACCCTAAATTACTAGTTTTTATTTTTTATTTTAAAAATGCCTAGAATTTGCCACGCCAGTCGGCCAAAAATCGGCATTCACGTGTAAAAGAAGAAATCAACGACCTTTCTTTTGACACGTCAAAAGTACTTCTTCCCTAGCCCTTGGATCTGTTTAAATATCAGTCAACGGGGTCCGTTTTCCTTAGCTAATTTACATACACACCCAAATAAATAAATAAAAAATCATAAATAATAATAGCTGCAAAATTCCCAAATATCGCATTTTGTTTGAAGAACTCCCAAAAAAAAAAAAAATCAAAATTAAATTAAAAAAGTAGGTGGTGCTCCTGCTAGTAAAAGAAATCCCAGAATCTTTGATTTTTATTTTTATTTTATTTTTGTTAATTTTTGGGTTTGAGATATTCAATTTGAAGGAGGAGAAAGGGGAGGAGAAAGAGTATATAAATACCCCGTGAAATTCTGAAAAGAGGTTTTAGTTTTTGGTGGTATTGAAATCCAGTAAGTGGTTTTGGAGCTGGAAATTGAGTGGTTTTCCGAGCGGTTTTAGGGCATGGGGAGGTCCGGCCATGGTATACGGAGTTATTCGGTTAACTCTAATGACTATAAGCTTCTAGAAGAAATTGGATTTGGTGCAAGTGCGACGGTTTTCCGAGCGATCTATCTTCCGTATAATGAGGTCGTTGCTATCAAGTGTTTGGATCTTGATCGATGCAATAGTAATTTGGTTCGTTTTCTCTTTAATTTCAGTTGACTACTGATTTTTGATCGATCGTTATTTTTTTATAATTATTTTGGGATTTTTTTTTTATTAATTTTGTGGTTTTTAGCTTAGTTTATAGTGTAATTACTTCAATATTAAATTAATTTGTCGTTTTATTGTTTTGCAATGATCTGTTTTTCCTTTTCTGCATTGTTTTGGATTTAATTTTGGTCTGATGTATTGTAAGTTTGAAAATTGTGGTTGTAAATGCTTGAATTTTGGTTGCATGCATGGAAATTGAATTTGTTTTGCAGTATAAATTAACGGTTTAAGCTATGTTAGTTAAAATCAACATTTTTTTTAACCTTTTTTGTGCTTATTTGTTAATTCCTTGCAATCAAGAGGTTTAATTGTTAGTATGAAATGACCTTTTTATACTAGTTGAATCGTTCTCGCGCACTCTATATCATTCAAGCTATGTTTTGGAAGTTTCTAACATTAGCAGTATTAAGGAAAGGTGACAATGTTTTCGTAAACATCGAAAAGTAGTGTATGTTACTGTTATTTCCGGAAGAAGGGAGTGGTGTGATGGCGTTTTAGGCGAGGACAGAGTGAGGGAGGGACACTTTCCTTTTCTCATAAACCATTTGTAAATTCTATTAATTTAACCCCCTCCTCTTTCTGTAGGTTATTCAATTATCTGTAAGATGTTTTGTGTGGGTCAGAGACAAAGTTAAACTGATTCAGTAGGGTTTAAGGGCTAACTATAATGATATGTTAACTCCTAATGTTTATGATTTGACACGCGAACTTATAGCATACTGTATCATCATCCTTGTGTCATACCATGAAATGATCATAAAACCTGCTTACCCCTTCGAGTGCACAGAAGCTTCTGTCTTTACTTTTTGCATGCAAATCGTAGGTTCCCTTGAGCCTTGATCCAAAAGGGAAACCATCTGTCCTACAACTTCATAGGAAAAGAAGTGAAAGATTAATTTGGCAAGACATTTGATTTAGTCCATTTTAATCGAAATTTCAAAGTTGGAACGATTTATTATTTTAATGAATATAATCCTAGTAATAATTAATAGTCTGGCCTATTTATTGAAAACTACCAAAAAAAAAACAACCCTAGTCCATCTTTTTTACAGAATAGAGTCCTTTACATCTGTTGGTGATTGAACATCTATAAGGAACAATGGTAGTGCCAACAGCATCTTTATTCAGGCAAATTAAAGCAAACAGTTTGCATATGTCATTACCCATTTCATCTTAAATACAGTCGATCTTATGCAGGATGACATTAGAAGGGAGGCACAAATGATGAGTCTGATTGATCATCCAAATGTAGTCAGAGCTTTTTGTTCATTTGTTGTGGATCGAAATCTGTGGGTTGTTATGCCATTCATGGCCGAAGGTTCTTGTCTACACCTGATGAAGACAGCTTACCCAGATGGCTTTGAGGAACCTGTGATTTGCTCTATATTGAAAGAAACTTTGAAGGCTTTGGAGTATCTCCATCAACATGGACATATTCATCGTGATGTTAAGGTTATTTACTAATGCTGCGTTGATGAGTATGCAGTGCATGTATAATATAAGAAGATATTGACTTTATTTCTGTAATTCTACTTTTTCCAGGCTGGAAACATTCTACTTGATACTAATGGACTTGTGAAGCTTGCTGATTTTGGCGTTTCTGCTTGCATGTTCGATAGTGGTGATAGGCAGCGGTCAAGAAATACATTTGTTGGAACTCCATGCTGGTGGGAACTGTTTGCTCAAATTTTTTTATAATTACTATTTGTTCTAGTTTGTGAAAGTTTTCCATCTGCTCATTTTATTAATTATTCAATTGGCACTAGTGTGCTATGCCAGTATAAGTACTTAATGTATATTCTGTTTTCAGGATGGCCCCTGAGGTGTTGCAACCAGGAAGTGGATATAACTTCAAGTACGTCTTTTTTGTACTTCCTCTGTTTTTTAGATGCATCACTTTATATAAATGGAAGTTTCAATTTAGATGCATCACTTTCCTTTTTAGATGATAAATGCTCTCTTTTCATCTCATATCACATGGGCCTTCTTTATTATTTTTTCAAGTTTATGCACTTGGTGAGTTGGGAGCCCAATTTTCATTCAAGTATTGATAAGAAGAGAAAGGTTTTTCTGGTACTCTTCCGCTGTCCAGCTACACTTCTATGCATAAATATAGGAAAATGATAGGAGGGTTCAAAATTGAAGCCGCCAGCTCACCCCATCGAAGATACTTATGGTGCTTGAATTAGTATGTATGGATAATTGTGCAACTCCACCCCGCACCCTACACACATACACGCGCACACACAACCAAAAAAAAAAAAAATCAATGCGAAGTCACCTCAGGTTTTAGTCTATAGAGTATATTATGATTGATCAGAGAACTCTTTCCCAAGTTTCAAGAAGTATGAACTCTCCCAAAGCAAGCTAAAGCATTATAATTGAATTCATGGCCTCCTTTTCCTTTGATTTATATTTTTATTTCTCCATTCCCCACCCCTATCTTTTACAAGATCCTCTTTGTGTCTGCCTTCTCCTATAACTAATTCCTAACTGAGTTAAACTGTAACACCCACGACACTCCCCAAGTTTGGCCAATGTGAAGAGTATTCTAGATACCCCTTCTAATTGTTTTAACATTTCCCTATTGACTTTCACATTTGTTGATGCACAACTTTGACTATTAATTTATCAAATCGAATTATCCATTCATTGAGACAAGTCCAACAATCACTCCATTTTTAAGTGCAACTTGTAGGGGAAGTATGATATTTTTGGAGAGGAAAGACAGAGAGATAAAAATGTGGTCTCATGTGACAGTGAGAGGTTGAGAGAAATCATTGCCAAAAGTACTGGTGTTGCACCTCATTATGTAACTTCTAGGAAGGGGAGATGTTGCTCTTATAAAAATATGGAGGATGTAATATTCCTCTCTCTCTTCCTTTTTCTTACACCCGCCAGCCTTTTCACTCCACCTCTCTTACTTTACCTACTATCTTTTTCACCCACTCTACTTTTTAAAAATATTATTAATCTACATATATACTGAGTTATACTAATAAATGGGTAGTATTAATAGGAAAATATGGCCGTAGTAAGACATTTGAATGGTGCAAATATCTATGAAACAAAGTAATATAAATTGAAGATCACTAGATCAGACATGTAAGTAAGACATCTGTTGAAGTAGCCTCAGAAAATAGGACTGGTTTACTTATATTTGAAACAAAAATGTTCTTATGACCAATCTATGCTCATTATGCAATAACTCGCAACCGTCAAAGTTTCACAACCAATAGCTGAAAGTTGCCAGAGATACCAAAGATGCCATAAAGCAATTGTTTTGAATTTCTACTAAGATTACTACAATAAATTCACAAGAATGATTGCTTGATGTCTCAACTAAGAGTACTATATGACTGATGGTAAAAGTGAAATCTTTTACCCTCCTTATGTATGACAGAAGTTACTTCAATCTGCTCAATTGTAAAGCCTCTAAGTACCATTCTCTGGACCATAAAGCAATTGTTTTGAATTTCTACTAAGATTACTACAATAAATTCACAAGAATGATTGCTTGATGTCTCAACTAAGAGTACAATATGACTGATGGTAAAAGTGAAATCTTTTACCCTCCTTATGTATGACAGAAGTTACTTCAATCTGCTCAATTGTAAAGCCTCTAAGTACCATTCTCTGGACCATAAAGCAATTGTTTTGAATTTCTACTAAGATTACTACAATAAATTCACAAGAATGATTGCTTGATGTCTCAACTAAGAGTACAATATGACTGATGGTAAAAGTGAAATCTTTTACCCTCCTTATGTATGACAGAAGTTACTTCAATCTGCTCAATTGTAAAGCCTCTAAGTACCATTCTCTGGATCAGAAGGGAATTATCTTTTCTTTCATTGAGCTTTGAAGTCAGCATGAGGGATTAATTTAGAAACAGAATCAAGTTTTTAAAAGAGGAATTTTCTTTTTAGGGTGCAAAAGTTACTGCTTTGATGATTGATTGAACATGTTACTGAGTGCATTCTGCTTGTTCAGGGCTGACATATGGTCATTTGGAATAACTGCACTTGAGTTAGCTCATGGTCATGCACCCTTCTCAAAATATCCTCCAATGAAGGTTTCTTATGTGATTACTTTAGTTCTATTACTCTCAACAATTTATGGCATTTGGAATAACTGCACTTGAGTGATGCTTGATTCTGAAATTTTCCCTTGCGTGTCAATTTTAGGTTTTGCTTATGACTATACAGAACGCTCCACCAGGACTTGATTACGATCGTGATAAAAAATTCTCAAAGGTTAATTGTTTCTTCATGTCAGTAATTTTATCTATTGTGTTTCTTTCAGTAATGTTGCTTTGTGGTTAAAATATGTCTGTCCAACATGATTTCCTGTCTTTTTGTGCACCTATTTGCTGTTTTCCCTCTTTGTTCTTTCCTTGTAAATTGTAACAGCCTTCTTAATTCTTATTGGATTTCCTTCATTTGAAATCTGAATAGTGGCCTCACTCTTTTTTATTTAATATTTTTATTTTATTGGCACTAACTGCACACGTCTGGTTTATCTTAACAAATCAGTAATGTAAATTAGGTTGTGGCTTGTACTGTTTACAGTCATTTTTAAGTTTTCTTAATCAACCAACATAGGTGTTGCTGGGCTCCTTTATTAACCTGTATTACTAATCTTTTGTTCAATGCTGACATTTTTCTAATTAGAGTATTTCTAGTTGTTGATCAGTCTTTTAAAGAAATGGTTGCAATGTGCCTGGTGAAAGATCAAGCAAAGCGACCAACTGCTGAGAAGCTACTCAAGCATTCTTTCTTTAAGCATGCCAAGCCACCTGAGCTTTCTGTGAAGAAACTGTTAGCAGACTTGCCACCATTATGGGATCGTGTGAAAGCCCTGCAGGTCAATCTGTTAGATTTTTGTTTTGTTGTGTTTGGTAGTTGTTTTGATGGTGCAGGAGTTTATTTTGGTTTGTTAATTCTGCAGCTTAGAGATGCTGCTCAGCTTGCTTTGAAGAGAATGCCCTCAGCAGAGCAAGAGGCTATATCACAGGTACATCATCTGTAGTCTGTGAATTTTTGTTGCATCTAGCTTTATATGAGTTATAATAATATGTTACTCTTTCACTTAAATTAATTTTCAAAAGTTTGTCATGTTGTCAATAGCGTTAACTGTTTTGTGCTCTTTTACGCCAGAATGAATACAAGAGAGGTGTAAGTGCATGGAACTTTGATATTGAGGACTTGAAAGCACAGGCTGCGCTGGTGAGTACTCCCTATGACCCCCGCCCCATAAAAATTGCCCCAATTTTCATTTTTTGTCTCTGCTTGTCTCTCCAGTCTCACTATGCTCTCTCATTAAATTTAAGTAGAAAAAAGACGATATACCCTACCTGCTTCTATTATGCTGATATCTTTAAAAAGTTTTTTTTAAAAAATCATTTGGGGCAATCTAAAAGGATAGAGGAAGCAATATCTTTGTTTTGTTGATTCGCCATAATAAGTAATAACAACTATATTAATTAAAGGACAAGGTGAGTTACTTCTCGATTTCAGGTAGCACATCCTTAGTTAGAAATTATATATATTAGCATATCCCCGCACTGAAACTTTGGCTTGAAACTGATATTCTGGACCTGTTTGTCACTAAACTTGGACAGTTGGACATCTTTCGCCTTGATCTAAGCTTTCATGCTTGTCTTTTAGGTGCAAGATGATGAGGATCTGTCAGAAATTAAGGAAGCTGATGAAAGTGTAAAATATGCTCATAACAGTAAGGTATTAGTCATGTGAGATTTTTAACTATTTTTGAAAGAAATCGTTATGCTTATCTTTGTGATTGTATTTTTTGTCAGGACGCATCAGACTTAGGATCTGTTTCAGGAAAATGTATTCCATCAAACAATTTTGTTCGCAGGTATTAAGTTTGAAGGATTGAATATTGTCTGTGAATGAATAATTCGGGATTTGAATGAAGAACCTAGAATTAGAAGTACGAAGTACAAAGTATTTGCATCCATTTCTTTGATTTGTTCAAAACTGAAGATTTCTGCCATACTATTTTTAACCTGTTAAGTTAACCTGTATTGCACTTTTACTATTCAAGGATTTAGATTGGGTATTCAGAATATGAATTTCAATGGTTTAGTTATGTAGAAAACTACAGAAATGTAGTACTCTTTATTTTTGCAGGTGGGAATTTGTCAGATCTGTGATAATGATTGTAGATTATGTTAACTGTTGTGCTGTTAATGTTGTCATTATTGCCCCTCCGATATCCAAGGGTGTGTTGCAAAATTGATTCTGTTAACTGCTGTGAGAAAATTTTAACTTCTAAAAGATAATATTTTAATGTGATGAGTGAATGCAGGCAACTGATCTTGAGGTATCAGGATAATACATTATATAACCCAATAGAGGGATTTAGGCAATTGGTTGATTTTAATGAGGGAATCCTAAATTGTAATATCATATTCTGAATCTGGGGTAATTGGAACTAGGAGAAATATACCATGTGCCCTAATATGATTGCTATCGTGACTAATATTGAGATCAGCTGAGGTAATCAAATATGAAATCTTGGGCATGAAAGAGGGAAGTGAAAGATGATTAGAAAAGGTAGATTGTGCAAGAAAGAAGGGGAAAGTAGAAGGGATAAGAAAGGATTGAAATCCTAGTAAAATATAGAAGTTGCGTTTATTTGCTAGTAGCCTGAAAATAATTAAGGCTGCTCTTTGATACTAGTTTGGGCTTTATAGTTTTTTTATGTTATCTACTTTTTTTTATCTATCTACCTGAGCTGTCAGTCTGTCACAATCATTAATTTTTAGATGCATTTTGAATATGCATGCTGCCTATATGTTGAAGTTGTAACATAACTCTGTTCTTACTAACATAGAAATTATATTACAAGTACCATGTCCCAATCTGTGTCCAAAAATCCAAATTTATTCAAACCCCTAGTCCTCTACCGTGTCCCAATGTTTATGGGTCATGGTGAGTCTAACACCATACATACCCGCATCAATAACATTGTTCAAAATAGAGGGCAGATTATCTGTGAGGGCTTTAAAGCATTTCTTTTTGAAGTCAGATCATAACGAGGCTGGAGCCAAACAAACCTTGATAGGCCAGGGGGACATGGGGTGATGGAATTTTGTACTTTGGAATACTAAAGTTAGTTTTGAGGTGGATATTTTTTGTGTGATTAACACCTCATATTGCAGAAATCAAGGTTATGCTGATGAGGCCGCTGTTATGCTAACTGAAGATGCCATGTGTAAAACCGGAACTGGAACCGAGTTTGATGTTGGTAGTCATGGTAAAAATATTCTAGAGAAAGATGGAGCAGATCATGGGTCGGGAGCACCTGCGTGTGAGATAGACTCAGTACAAGTAAAGGCTAATTCTCAATTAGTGAAAGGTCGTCAAAGTCAGAGTGGGCCACTCGTGCCTGGAAATGTGGTAGGACAGACATCCATAGAAAGGGGTCGTTTTTGTGAAAGGTTGGTTTCAATTTCTTCTAAAATATTGATGATGATGCCTTTCATAAAGAAAGGGAAAGGAGAAACATGTAAATAGTTTAACATGAAGCATAAAGCGTAAATACTTATCTTGATGTATTTCCTCCATTCTTTTTCAGTGCAACATTTAAAATTTTACACAATTCACACTTACTATTTTGATCATCTTTTGTGATTTATATGTTGAGAAAAATATAGTCATGTAGGATCTTGCTAGATTTGTCTCGTTATAAGATTTCAAAATGTCAAGTTTTTTTAACTTTTACAATATTAAAGGTTTAAAATGTGCATTGGCGAGCGTGATATTCCCAATGTTGCAATAAAAAAAAAACATAGAGGAAATATTATGCATGCTAGGTTTAATCGTGGATCTAATATTTTATTCCCTCCATTTCGTTTTGATGTTTTGCTTTAATTCTTTTATTCCGGCTATTTACAATTTGAGGGAATATTTTAAATTATTCTTGATATGTATTATAAGAATAAAAAATAGTCATGTAGGGTCTTGTTTGATTTCTCTCAATGTGTGCTTTAAAAATATCTTCTTTTTTAATTAATTTTTTTTATTATTATAAATTATTTGTTTTTTTACTAATCTTTGAGATGTAGATAGGCAAATATGTGCATCGACTTACATGTATTTGTTTTGTGTAGTCGTACTATTACGTTAATGCTGAAGCAACTTTTTTTTTGAAGTTTTTAACTTTTCATTTAGAAGGGGTTTGATCTTTTTCTCTGAAAGACTGGGGCCTTATATCTTACCAGGCAAACTCCATCAACACATCATCTGTGAACATAAATGTTTCATTGCCAAAAATACTTGACTATTAACATTTCATTTACTTGTATATAACAGTAAAACAGCATTTGAGTATTAAAGGGTCAATATCTATTTAAAGACGAAAAAAATAAAAATAAATTTCCCTACCGTCACTTCTTCCTGCCTAAGGCACCTCTTATCACTTCCCCTACCTTCCCCATTATGATCGGAAGACCAGTACTGCATCCCATCAGTGCCGTTAACTACTTTATAGGCTTCTTAAGATAGAGAGGTAAAGGAATGAAAAGAGAATTTTATTTGATGATGGAGATGATTATGATTGAGAGATCAAAGATATAGAGAAACGAGTTTCAGGGGTTTGTTTCTCAATGGCATTGAGTTTTTTCTATTAGTGTGGGTAATTTGTCTGTTAAACAACCACCTTCAGGGTACCTGAATGTATTCAATTTTGCAGGGGCATTTTGACTTTTTTTTGTAAAATCTATAGGGTACAAATGGGAAATTCCCCTTTAATTTATCCTTTTGCTAATGCACAAATTGTATCCATCTTTTCCCTCCTATGAGCTGTAGGTTCATACAACCTTTGTACGTTTCAAAAATGTTTCAGCAATGTAATTGTGCTGCATGTTAGTTCATATTCCATTTTTTTTATTTTAAGTTTTGCAGATTTGAAACTCTGGAATATTGGTTTTGATCAACAGGCCTGAGAATGAAAGTCAATATATAGCGGAGAAAAGTAACCGTGGTTCACGCAGGGCACCAAGCTTTAGTGGCCCACTTATGTTACCAACACGAGCTTCAGCAAATAGCTTGTCAGCACCGATTAAACCTTCAGGAGGTGACACATATCTTATAAGCTTGCATTTTTTTTGTTAAGGAAATGTTTTGCTGGCATTTTTGTGCTGTAATCAATATCTGCATTTATTTTCCTGCAAGTTTGAAATATTTGTGGCTCCAGGATACAGAGAATCTTTAGAAGAAAAATCGAAGGCGAATTTGGTTCAAATAAAGGGCCGCTTCTCCGTAACATCAGAAAGTTTAGATGTTGTTAAGGTTAGGATCCACAATGATGCATGGTCTCTTTTTAAATGTGTTTGCTTCTGACACTTATTATTTGTTAGGATATGACATCATCTTCTTCTGCTCGGAGATCATCACAGGTAAGTTAACTCCATTGTATGACAATTTTTATGACACTGATGGGATGCCTACCTAATTTTTACCCGTTCTTTCCAGGGATCGCCTTTGAGAAAGTCAGCAAGTGTTGGCGATTGGATTTCTGAATCAAAGCAGACCGTAAGTCTCATATATTTGTATCCTGATTTTTTATGATATTTTTTCTATTGCTTTCGAGTTTTTCAAGAAAATATGTATTAGCTATGCGTGCTTTTATGAATACTGTAGTATACATTTTCTTGTCCATTGCTGACTATTTTTGTTTAAAAAACACAAATATATGAACAAAATAATCGGAGGTAGAGTTCTATTAATATTGCTTTTTTAGATGATATTTGTTTTGAATTATTTTACAATTATATGGCTTAGTAAACACTTAAGCTTAATTTTGATGGACCTTAGAAATAACAGTCATTCTCAGTATAAGCTGTATCTGAAGCTTAATTCTAGATTTTTAAACATGATGACCTAGATCTGTTGTTTTCTGTTCTGTTTTCCATTATTAATCATTTGTTTTTGTTGAACTATTGTCAGATAACCCGTCAACCTTCTGGAGACATAAGCAGTGCTAATGTGTCTGCATCTCTTCTCTTGCCTCACCTTCAAAATCTCTTTCAACAGACTGCAATCCAGCAGGTAGAGGATGAAAGTGCCCTGATTTTTAATCTATCATTAGTATTACCTCCATTCTATAATTTTGGATGCATGTGATGATTACCACAGTTACCACTACATCTCAAGTCTTTGTAATGGTTTTTTTTTTTTTTTTTCCTAAGACTTATTGTACATTGGTATTGCCTCCGTTTTTTATTTGTTTGTTCCATTTGACTTGTTCTACAGTTTCTATTTCAAGCATTTGCATATCTTATAAAATATTATACAAAGTTGATTTTTTGAAACTACAAATCTAGCTGAATCTATCAATATCCCACATGAATCTGTCATTTCTGTAATTCTTCGAAGAAAACCCATGGTCTAACCTTCTTTCTGTATAAGTGGAATATATTAATTGGGACAAACAAAAAAGAATGGAGGATAGTTAATTTTGTGTAACGCTCATTACCTTGTATATTTTTAATCAAAGCACTCTTATAGAATATTCTTTGTATATATATATATATATATAAAAGAAAGTAAATCTCTCTTTCTTTTTTCTTGCTTTGGGGGTAGAATCATCATAAAATCTACTCTGTAGTAAGAGCTCAACCATGGTAGATCTATTTATTTGTACTTGAAAGCTGAAAAGGCACTGAAACTTGTTTTTTGAATAATGATCAGGATCTGATATCAAGCTTGTTAAATAGCTTGCAATCAACTGAAGTTGAAGGTGAGTGCAAATTATGCCAGATGCTTCTTGTATATCTACATATTGGCTATTATGTGAAGCCCTCTTAATCTGTTTTCTTGTAGGTTCTCAAAATGGAAGGCCTCCAACAGTGCCACTATCAGGAAGTCCAGAAAATGGAAGTGTAAGTTTTGAGAGCTATTCTATTGTTACCCAAACTTCCAGACTTTTTGTGGAGCAGCTTTAATTTAATTATGTTTGAACATATGTTAATTACAAGTAATGTAACCTGTGCTTTATAGTTTGCTTTCATATCCTTTTCATGCTGTTACAAATACATATGTTCCTTTTTTAATGTTACGCTTTCTGTTTGCATCCATTCGTTTTTGTTTGGTACTTATGTACATCCCTATTTTTGCAAAGTTTTCCCCCTTACCTCTCCTGCAACATTCTCTTTCCTATTTATTTCCTACTTTTCTTGCATTAAGCCCACTTACAACACTCTCTTCCCCACTTTATACTACACATGCCCCCTCACCTAATCCTCTGTCATAATCTTCTTTTTATGTGTATCTAAAATAACTGTATCTATTAAAAGGCAACTGAGATAGTTTTACTCAGCCTTCATTTGAGTAATTTTGTTGTATTTGGCATGATGTCAAGTAGTGATGTTTTTCCATAAGATGTTGCACAAATCTCTTAAGAGCAATCTCATGCTGCTTCCTTACGTATATTTGTATGTCTGGAGATCAAGTAGCCACTCTGATATGAAATTTGTTGACTAGAGTGAGATGTTGCCTCTCTCCCTCTACCTGGGACAGTATGTATCTAGCAATTATGAAGCTGTTATGTTATTTAATTATCTATGTGCAGCATAAATTACAAGGCTCTTCGATATCTAAACAAAAAATTTCTTTGGCTTGTGTTATCATTGTTAGTTTCTAATATCAGATTGTTTACAGGCTGAGACAGTCGCTTCAGAAAGGGAACGATTACTTCTTAATAAGATATCGGACCTTCAAGCCAGGTTGAGTGACCTCTTACGAATTTTATTGTTTATAAATGTCATTGTCCTCCTCTAATATATATATTTTCAGAAGGCTTTTTTGTATCCGCCTTATTTGACATGTTGTGCAGGATGGCTAGTTTGTCTGAAGAATTAAATGCCGAAAAACACAAATATGTGCTGGTAAGTTATATTTTATTTGTATTTTACCCTTCAATTTTGTTTGCCAAATTTGGGATTAGCTGGGTGTGGATATTAGTATATAACTACTGCCTCCGCGTTTAAATAAATGTTTTCTTTTTGCGGCCGTATATAAATAAATGAAACGTTTCCTTTTTTAGTAACTTCTCTCTATTTTTTTTTAAATAATATTCTCTTTACTTTCTAATAATTTTCTACTAACTAATGGTCCCCACAAAACCCCTTACTTCTCTCTCTCTCCTCAAACTTTTACCCTACTACCTATTATTTTAATAAGTTCAACTAACTCTCCTAAAACTGGTAAAAGTCAAAACGTTTTATTTATTTAAACACAGAGGGAGTAGTATTTTAAAATTACCCTCACTCTATTCCTTCAAGATCTTCTTAGATAGTAGATATTGTAGATAAGATACCAAGGTACGGACTACGGAGGGAGTATGGTGACTCCTTGTACCTTTTGGTTTTTGGGATAGGATAGTGAAAGTGAATTAGAATTGATAGTCCAAATTAGGTTTCAAGTAGTGAGGCAAGCAAGAGTTAAGGGGAGTAAAGCTACCAAATACTGGTGCGATTACAGTCAGAGGCTTCATGGAATGGAAGAAGATCTTTGTGGAACATCAGTGACACCCAAAAGGGAACGCATAGTATGCATGAGGCCATGTAATTTGCTCGCACTCAGTGTTTTTTACTTCCTCTGCTCCAAATTAATTGACATGTTTTCCTTTTTTGGGAGGTTTCTTTTTAGCTGATATGGTATTTTCAGCAAGTTTTGTATGGTAAAATTTCAATATCACCCTCACTCCTTGATTCCTTTTTCTTACAGCCATTATCATGGCTTATTTCCTTTCTCTTCCCTCATAGACAAAATTACCCATTTTCTATGTCCTTCCATTTCCACTAAATTTCTGTCTATTCTCTCTGCACCTGACTTCCCTCTTCCCCTCATCACTGTTATTCTCTCTCTTCTTTGAAGAAGCATTTTCTGGTGGTTAGGGCGAAAATTTAGATCAAGAAGACTGAAAGCACCCAATCTTTTCCAAAACTTGGGACTTAAGTGACTCATCTTTGTGTTCTCTACCTCTGCCACCGCTGTTGTTTCTTCCACTTCCAACATAGAGAATAAAAGCTCATCAAGGCTTTGAGCATCAAAGCCTATAATTATTGAATATAGGCCTTTACAAATGCAATGTGTGCGTGAGTTTTTATTTATTTTTTATTTTTATTTTGGCATGATCAATAGCAAGCTTTACTACCAAAAAAATACCCTAACAAAGAATCTAAGATGATGATATGTATCCCGTATACTTTTAAAAAGTTTGATCTAACTCTTATGAATAGTGTTGGGATAATTTATACCTCCTAAAATGATTATTGGCTTATTTGCCCTCATTAATGATGATTGCCTCTTTGGTTACTTTGGAACAGATTATGTTTGGTTAAAGAGTGTGCAGAAAGGGTTGTACACTGTTTGTTGAAAATATGAGTTTTTATGGTTGTAAAAATTATCATGCTGGAGAAACCAGAAAGTTGGAAAGTGACAACTATTTTTCAGTGTTTGCATTACTTATTTTTGGCATTGTCTATTTCCTCTGGTCCATGGTCTCTGGTCTGTGACTGCGTGAGAACTGAGAAGTCCTAGGCTCTACTGAATAATGAAAATGTGCCCCCTTGACTCTCCATATTGCTTCTTCTCCAGAATCATGGAGTTTTATTCTTGCTGGTCTAATCATTCTGAATTGGTTACAACTCAATTTCTCCTATTGTTTAATTTGTTACCTGATGAAATAGCCGAATCTCATATTTGGCTCATTGCTCTGGCCTGGGCAGTAACTGAGTGAGAAGTCCCTAGATTGTGATGATTAAACTGAGTGGCGGAATTGTCATGCAATTTCTGCTAATATTTATTTAAGTACCTTGGGAAACAGCTGTTGAATCGCTATCTGTATCTTTCAGCTCATTTGCTCTATTGTAGTTGTAATTATAGTGAAAGGTATATATAATGCAGAGTACTTCTTTGACTGAATGTAATTCATTGCTCCATGGAACATCCTAATCTTATTAATTAATGGTGTATGCTTGTTTACATGTCAGTTGCAACAACAGCTATCTGCAGTCTCCAGTCAAGAAGACGAAGACAGTATCGAAGTGGATACTTGAGGAAGCAACGTTAGTTTCTTGTACAGTGCGAGTATAGTGTATATTCAGGTAATAGGTCTTGAGCTCACAAACCTATCCTTTGGCATGCTACAAGAGTAACTCAAGCTGGTGCCTTGTTTTGGTGAATATAAAGAGAAAATAGCTGCCGGTCCTCCTATCTGGGTCTGGTTTCCATCCTTAGCTTAAGTATTGTATCCGAGCTGCTTTTTCACAGATCCCTTGGCTTCTTGGAAAAGGAATGATGACGACGACAAATGATGATAACTAAAATTGTATTCTTGATTTATTTGTTCAAGGGATCTACAAGAAGCTGATTCTGTTGAGTCTCAGTCTGAGAGGAGTGTGTATAGGCTGTTTCAAATACTCGGGGGTTGGCATTGATTTGTATTTTATTAAAATTCTATTTATTTTTTCTTCAATGGTTTGAGTAGAGCACCATATCGAATGCATAGGAAATTAGAATAAGTTTATGTGTATCTTTATTTTATATGGAAATTCTACCTACAACATTGTAGCTTTTTTGACAATTCTATATGGTACGAGAGAGAGAGAGAGAGAGAGACAGATACCCCCTTCCAATTTAACATTCCAGTAACTTTTCAAATAAGTGCAAAGTTGGAATGACGAACCGCCACCACCACCCTCAGTGGCAGGCTGGTAGCCACCATACCGCTTTTCGCTACTCCCTTATAGATTTACCCTCACCTCAAAAAGCTCTGCAAAACCCTTTTTCTTCCACCATTGTTCAACTCTACCTGAACACCAGTCGATATTTCCTTGCAAATCCATTTTCCAAATTAACACTGCATAGCCTCCCTATTGTAACAAATTTCCCCTCTACTCAATCCTAAGAAGCAGGTTCTGTATGTTTATGGTGGGTGCCGGTGGCTCCTTCAGTTCTTCCATTGATGCTTGTTGGCTTCCTGGTATATAGGTATAAGCTTTTGAGATTGGTCTTTTGGGAGTTGTGTAATGGTCTTGACTTTCTACATGATCAATGTTATTATACTTTGAGGTGACTTTTTGACCGCTTCCATGGTTATCAACTTCTATGTTCCTCATCTGTAAGACATTAATCTTGCACATTCAGCACCTCGTTTGCAAAAAGCCAAAAACTACATAAATTTGGCAATTAAAAGTAGCCTCTTGGTTTGCAAGAAAGGTCAAGCCAAGGCATAACATCTTAGTACATGATGATGAGGGGTGAAGTTAAAGCATGAATGAGATGGTTCTTGGGGTCCTTGAGGAACCTTAGAAAGTAGCTCGATGCCTAATTTTGATTAGTCTAAACATGGTCTTTAAATGTAAAGTTTGAAGGTTGTGATAAATAATTGGATCATTTTTGAAGATTTCAAACTAAGGGTTAGAGACTTAATGGATAGTAGGTCATACATTTCAGGGTCATTAAATGTTATTTGAAACCATATGTAGTCAGCAATTGGTTACATACGGCTTGGAGTAGTTTTAACTTAATGAAAGGAGGCGTGTTCAAATAAAAATAACCTAATAAATTAAAGGAAAAATAATACTCTAATATATTCCTAACTTGATTAATTAATAAGGTAAAATGATGTTTTCAACAACCCAAATGATATTATACTTTTAAAGGTTCTCGTGGGGTCTATGAGAATTGAAAAGCACCTCATTCTCTTTTCTTTTAGTGTTAGTGCTTGGAAAAATCGAAAATTTACCAAAACTAAAGGGTATAATCCACACATTCGAGCCAATTTTGAATTTTTTTTCAAAGTTTAAGTGAATACAGGATTGTCCACTGTGATGGTGAAAGTTTGTTTGGAACCGTAACATGCCTATATATATATATATATATATATATATATATATATATATATATATATATATATATATATATATGTATAATTTTTTTTTTTTTGCTAAAGGTAAAGATAAATTTAGTATGAATTTTATGCATGTACAAGAACATTTTTTTAATAATTATAATTTCTACAGTAATAACTTGAGGCATTGCTCGACTTCAAAACTAGTTTATGTCAAAATACTAGTCACATGCCATATACGGTGTTACGTTATTATTGAATCACTTAAATTCTATTTCATTTTCTTTGTCGCATTTTAATTGACAAATTTCCTTTATTGGATGTCACAAAATATAATAAATTTTTCAAAACAGCAATTTGATAGCATGACAATTATTGATTTGATTTTAATATATTCAAGTCGCTTAATCAATATCTTACTGGACTATATTTCTTATAATTCATTGGTAATGAGAAATGTTAAGTCAAATATATCACCTAATTGTCCGCTATATAGCGGAAATTATTTTGTTTTCCAAAAAAGAAAAAAAAAATATTAAAAAAACTCAAAGTAATCAATTTCTCCGGCAACCGTCGAAAATGAAATATGGATTCAGAACCCTCTTGACCATCCTAGGCAGCTCCAAACTCCAAACAAATGGTCCCTCTCATCCTCACACTCTCTCCTCCTCCTTCAGTTTCTCTCTCCTCTTCCTTTCTTCCTCCTTCCTCTCTTCCTAAACTCAACAATGGCGGACTTTTGCTCACTCAGGTATTTATCTCTTCATTCTCCATTAACACTTTTTACAGAAATATCACCAACTTTTGAAAATCGATTTTCTGAATTTTCTTCCAGAAGAAGCAGTTGTTGAAGCTGAGAAGAAGCGGAATGTGTAGGGCTGAACTTCAGCAAGATGCGCCTTTTGCAATTGCTATCGGCGCGTGTGTGTTGAATTCATTGCTATTTTCTGACACCGCCGTTTCTTCGCCGGAGGATGAAGACGCCGCCGTCAGCTCCACCGATGCTAGGTTTACTGTTATGACTATCATTGGTTTCATCCCTTACTTCAATTGGTTGGTAAGCTCTTTTTTTCTTTAATTTTTTTGTGTAATTTTCTGCCAATTTTGGGAGCTTTATAGTTCATTTTAATGGCTGATAATGTGAAATTGAATGTTGATAGAGTTGGATTTTTGCGTTGATGGATACGGGAAAGCGGCGCTATGCTGTTTATGCACTTGTATATTTAGCCCCTTACTTCAGGTTTGTTTCCTCAATTGATTTTGAATTAGTGCAGCTCGTTCGCTTTTAAGTTGCTTGTTCCGAATTTAGTTGTCATATTACTAGTTCATATTTTGGATAACACTATTTATCAACATTATGGATGGATGGAATAATAGAAGTATTTGATATTTCATGTTTGGCTTGGCTTTTCGAAATCATTTTCCCAACATTTTTATGAGCTTATTGTGTTATTGCTAAATTAACTTTGTAAGAAATGGTTTTTTCATCATAGTTTTCTAGTTTACTAATGAGTAGTAGTAGCAATGGTGTTAAACTATGTTAGTTGGCCAGTTAACTTAGAATCTCATTAAGAGTGATACACCCGGTTATAACTATGTTCTCCAAGGTTACACTAGCCTCTCTGAAATTTTGCTCTGAAAACAATAGGCTAAAAGAATTATGTGGTGCAATTTTCTTAAACCGACCTCTTGCTCCATGAATGAGTTGAGGTTATATTGGCTTATTTTCATCAAGGTCAAGTGATGAAAAATTGTGAATGTTCTAATCTGATGATTACTTCAGGGTTTGTAGCCGATGTAAATATGTACTTTGTATTAAATGGGAATAGTGTCTCACAAGTGTCCAGAATTTGTGCTACAGAACCTATGTGCTCTCATGCTATAAAGTAGACTATCTAGTATCATTGACTAATATAGTACTGATTGTATTCAGCATTTTTTGGTAATTCTGGGATTAATTGTGATTTCTCTCATATAATCAGAGTATCAGACTAATTCCTGAACATGTTTATATACCTAGTAAGTATCTCTGTCAGTCGAGTTGTGATTCTTGTGACTGATTCTAATCTTTTGAAGACCAAATATCACAATATAGTAAATATTGTGGCCATGATTGTTTATGCATTTCCTTATATTCTAGACCTTGACTGTAAATATATGAAAACTGTTAGCTTTGTAGCCTTTGTTGTATTTGATACTTCGTACATTCTTACAATCATAAGGGCATGTGTTCTTATGTACATAAATTTTCTCTTTGCAACTTAACAGGACCAACCTCTCACTATCTCCAGAGGAGAGTTGGCTGCCAATTGCAAGCATTGTTCTCTGTGTTATACATATACAGGTACTAGATGAAGCCCGTGCGATGCACGGTTTGTTTGAATTTTTAAAAATAATTTTTTTATACATATACTAGTTTTGTGCCCGTGCGATGCCCAGGTTGTTTATTGAATTTTAAGATAAATTTTTAAATATGTCAAATTTTAAAACATATCATTGATACAAAATTAGTTGGGAATTGATGTGTTTTTGTGATGATTTAAACTATATAATAGGCATGTAATGACTAATAATAATATTGGTGAAAAACATTTCTTGACCCGTAACCTTAAATAATAAAGTATATTGTTTTAATTGATTAGAATATATTATAAATAATGGATGTGGTGCATTTTGAGCTAATTCCTTCGCTCCAAAAAAATAATATGATACAAAAAATAAATTTATATGATAATTTATGAGTGTTATAATTTTTTTTAATAAATTATAATTTAATTTGTACATTTGAAATATTGTTACTTTATCGAAAATAAAACTCTAAATTAATAATTTTATCCTAAAATTCTATCCAAATTTGATTGAAAATACAATTCTAAATTAACTTTTTTATAACTCTACCCTACGTGGCGCGACACTCGGCAAAAAGTTGGAATGCCAAGTGTCGTTATCTCGTCGTCTGGCTAAAAGTTTAGATTTATATATTAGTTATATGATTTATGTGCTAAAATTTGTTATATATTTAGATAAAATTCCTAATATGAAAAGATAATATTTTATATTTAATTAATTTAAATTGAAAAATCTCATTCGCCAATTTTACTTACGTGGCATTTGAATTATTTAATTATAAAAGATTTTAATAATATCCTATTTAATTGGTTACTACTAAAATTTATAATCCTACATGGCACACTATGAAAATTAGATCCTATGTGGCTCTCTAAAAACTCGGGAAAAAACTCCCCTTTATATGAAGTCCGAGCGATGCACGGTTTGTTTTATTTTTTTTAAATAATGTTTTTTTTTGTATTTATGAGCCTAAAATTTGTTATATATTTAGATAAAATTTCTAATATTAAAAGACAATATATAATATTTAATTAATTTAAACTTAAAAATCTCATTCGCCAATTTTGCTTACATGGCATTTAAATTATTTAATTCTATAAGAAATTAATAATCTCTTATTTTATTGGCTACTACTAAGATTTATAATCCTACATGGCGCGCTAAGAAAGAAATTAATAATCTCTTATTTAATTGGCTACTACTAAGATTTATAATCCTACATGGCGCGGCTCTCTAAAAACTCTGGAAAAAACTCCCCTTTATATTCCTGATATTAAAAGATAATATATAATATTTAATTAATTTAAACTTAAAAATCTCATTCGCCAATTTTGCTTACATGGCATTTGAATTATTTAATTCTAAAAGAAATTAATAATCTCTTATTTAATTGGCTACTACTAAGATTTATAATCCTACATGGCACGCCAAGAAAGAAATTAATAATCTCTTATTTAATTGGCTACTACTAAGATTTATAATCCTACATGGCGCGCTGAGAAAATTAGATCCTACGTGGCTCTCTAAAAACTCGGGAAAAAACTCCCCTTTATATATATATATATTAGATTTTGTGACTGTCAAGTGTAGTTAGTAACAGTTGCTTTCTCCTGTTGACCTATGTCAACAATTCTGGCATATCTGTTTTTATGCTTAAAAAGTTAGAATCCACAATAACATCACCCTTCCACAGCCCTTCCCACTTTTTCCATTTTGCAAAGTTCTGTTTTGTAATTTATATTTTCTGATTTCATTGCTGGTATATTGAGTGGGAACAGGAGTGTGCCCATATTTAGTCACTTACCTTGAGTAAGAATGCTTTGGTTATTGCAGTACTAGCAAGGTTCTAATTTTTAAATTTCTTTACTTAATCGACCAATGTCTCCATTCACAGTTAGAAGCAAGTATCAGAAGTGGTGATCTTGATGGTTTCAACTTCTTTAATAAGGCAGCAAAGAGTCGTGGTTTGGCCAAGAAACATGATCATATTAAGCATCCCGAAGAAATGCAAGAGGAGGTAGCTACTGATATTCTCACTTTCTCCAACCCTGAAGCTCTATTAATGGTGTTTTTTTTTTTTTTTTTTTTTTTTTTTTTTAATTATGTTGGGTGTCTCCAAAGTGTTTCTTATAATTCTTAATGGCTATTCTTACTTCTGAGTTCTGACATTTATTTTAGGCAAGAGGAAAAGGAAACATGAAGTTGCCATTGGGTCAGCAGTCTAGGGATGAGATTAGAAAATGGAGAGTCACTAGAAAGCCTTCCCAAGATATCGAACATGTGGGTGATGATGCTGGTGATCAAGATGATAAAATGCAACACTAAGAAAAAATGGATGATTAGGGATAACACACAAACTTCTTCCATAAATAAATATAAGCAGGTGACCTGAAGACTGTCCAACTGGGTAGGTGCAATCTCATGTACATCAAGACATAAGACTAAGAGAGTAGGTTGCCGATATTGAGTAGTGGTAACAGGCATGTGCTTTTTATGTGCAGGCATTATCGGAGAAATAATGTGGATGCTATTTTCTTGTATATTTAAGTCACATTTCTGTAGGAAAATACGTATTTTCATGAATATGGCTCTAGTTTCTTCCTGTGATAGTTTTCTGCTGTCATATCATTGTATCAATAACATGTTTACTGAAAGATAAATTTGGTCCTTGCTTTCTGGGCTTTGACATGATCTTTTATTATTAACTCTTAACTGTAAATAACAATTTTATTATAGCAGATAGAAGTCAGTCTAAAATATGGCCTAATTGCAGGACCTAAAGATGGATTATGCAGGTGCAAGCACCTTGAATTGCTTCTTGCTGTGCTTGTGGAAAATGATTAGATTCCAAAGCAAAATAATAATTGGCTGCTGTCGAATATTGACAACATCCATCTGCTATCTGGCTTATGTGCAACAACACAAATGCAGATGAATGTGAATTCAAAATTTCTTTTGCCATTCATGATTTCTGCTCCTATAGTACAAGTTTTGATGGTTTGGACATTAATAATCAAATATTCTCAATGCTAAAGAATTTACAGCCTCTGAAAATAATGTGCTGTTGCGGGTGACATGAAGTATAACATTGTCAAGTCATTTGATTTGTTCCTCGGACCTAATCTTTCTTAAGAGGAAATGGACTTACAAACCTGGATTTAAAGCAGAAATCCAAACTAACAGCAGCAAAAGTGAAAATAAACAGATCCTGGAACACAAAGAACGCGCCATCCACAGCATGTGATAGGAAACTTGCCGAGTTGAACTCTAAAGGGGATCCTCCACTCAATGTAGCAAGACCTGGCATAAGAGGAACAAAATTCTGAGAATTCCTTGAATATCTTATCATCCACACTAGTAATTACCAAACATATCAAGTAAGTACCTTTGACTACAGCAAAAGCTCCAGCTGCTCCGGTTTTAAGATGAGAATCATCAATATCTCTTCTCACTGCATACCGGAAAGTGACACCAAACAATGCACAACTAACAAAGGTGACTCCTAATTGAAGCAACAACTGAGGACTGTCTGTCACCCTTGAGAGATAAATTGGGACAGCAGCAAGGGTTCCAACCAAGGCACATACTGCAGCTGCTTTCACTGATTCCAACCTCTCCTCATTTCGGGTGATCTCACCCTTCTCCCCCAAAGCTCGTTCCGCTTCTTCAACCATTGCTTTTGCTTCTAATACCTCCTTCTGACACTCTGCAATCTTAAATCAGTTACACTGTCACAAAAGAGTACAGCAAAATTTCCCAAGCATTACAGTCTCAGAAATGTCAGGTAACTCAGGTTTATAACAGTTATATTCATTCATATTGACAGATTCTTTCCTGATAAAATTTTCAATTAATAAATAATCAAACCAATGTAGCACTAAATATAAAAGAGTGAGACCTCAGCTGCTCGAGTTTCGAGTTGATCAATGTATTTCCTCATTTGTTGAGCTTCAAGCTCTTGCCTTTCAATATCAGCAAGTTCTTTTCTAGCAAGCTGTACTCTTTCAGTAGCCTTATTAAGTTTATCCAACATTTCCTTGTTCTCTTCTTTATCAAGCAATTCTTCAACTCTTTTGTCCACTATATTAGATAAGGCATTCTTCAAGCTGCCGCCGCTGCTGCTACAGTTGCCACCACCATCCTCCTCGTTTCCTGGGGTGGAGCCGCATTTAACCACCGTAATGTTGGACTTAAATGTCGTACTGCCACCGGTAAATTGTCTGCTTAAGCTTATAAAACTCGGATTGTTTCGCCGGAAACTATGCAATGAAGCTTTAGAAAGAGAGAAACTGAGCTTTGGGTGTAGAGCACCTGGCAAAGCCATCCCAGTGATCTTTGATTTTTGACGCCAAATGAGCGGAAACTTATCTTGTGTGGATTGAATGATTGATTAATTGTTTCTCCAATTTGTTTCCGGCGTTTGGGTTTGAAATGAAGATGTGGTGATTGTGGTCTACTTTCTTATCTAAAATAATTGCTACAAATACATAACTTTTTTTTTTTTTTTTTTTTTACAAAATTACATAACCATAAAGAAACCATAAACAGGGCTTGTTTGACATCATTTTTTGTTTTCATTTTCTATTTTTTTTTTAAAACCAAAAATCAAAAACAGGAAACAAGAAAAAGGTGTTCACTTTTTTGTTGTCAGTTTTCAAAATTATCATGATTTTAATAAGTTTAAATAAATTTTGATTTATTATGAGACATATATCATATATTTTTAAAAATCAAAAAACCAAAAAACAGTAAACCACAACAATGTCAAACAAACCCTAAGTTATAAATAAGGGGATTCAACACCCAACCTTTAATGAGAAAGATAGTTACTTAATCATCTAAGTCAATCATAAACTAGGTTATAAATATGAAAATAAACGTATATAATTGATAATCTTAAGATCTAATTAAAGTAGCAACCGGTGCAATGCTCGAGCTACACACTAGTTTTTAAAATAAAAAAGAGGTCAAATTTCAATATTTCATTCCTTGAATTTCACATTTTTACTCCATTAATTTACTTAATTTTACTTCCTTAGTTCAAAATGATATTCTCACTTTTCATTTTGTGGGTTTCAAAATATCTTCCAACTTTTTAATTTCTATTTTAATATTTCACATCTCATCAAATTTTCCTATTAGCTTTTCTGGTATGTGACTTACCTCGTCGTGTGACCTCTTGTAAAATAACAAAGTAACCCTTAAATTATTGATCAAGTAATTCCTGTAACGCTGACCGAATAACCTCCTAACGGACTCCTAACGGAGCAACCCTTGTAATAAATTAACCCTTGAATATTGATCACATAAGTAAAGCTGTCGATTCGGACAAACGGGTCGGGTAAGAGTGGATCGAGTCAACTCGAGTCGAGTCAACTCGAGTCGAGTCAATTCAGATAAATTCAATAACCTATGCGGATCGGGTTTGGGTTGGGTCCTACTTGAGTCAGGTCATGTCGGGTCATACTTCTTATCGAGTTTGGGTCGATTTTTGGTCGGTTAATAACAGGTCGAGTTACATTCAGGTCGGGTGAACAATAAGTTGAGTTTAATTCAGGTTTTCACAGGTCAAAACGGGTTAGGGTAATTCTCGAGTTTGAGTCGGTTCAATTCAAGTCAATAATTTGCGGGTTAAAATTAGGTCGGGTCATTCTCGGGTTTGAGTCGGGTTTGGTTCAAGTCAATAATTTGCGGGTTATAATCAAGTCGGGTCATTCTCGGGTTCAAGTCGGGTTCGATTCAAGTCAATTATTTGCGGGTTATAATCAGGTTGGGTCATTTCCAAGTCGGGTCATTCTCGGATTCAAGTCGGGTTATGTTCAAGTCAATAATTTGCATGTTACAATCAAGTCAAGTCATTTTCAAGTCAGGTCATATTCGGGTTCAACTAACTATAAATAGATAATTATCATTTTTATCAAGCTAATTATCTTCTTTGACCATACAACAAATGTATACTATATTTAACTTTGAGGATGACGCTCCTTTCTTTTGCTGGCCAGGACCGACTTGGTCTCCCAAGACAAAATGCTTTGATCAAGAATAATAAGGTGATCTAATTGCATTTAAGGTGATTTGAAATTGAGTCAGAAACAATTTGGGTTGAATTTAGGTCAAGACAATAACAAGTCGTGTTTATTTCGAGTCGGGTTAGTAAACGATGGGGTTGAATTTTTGGATTGGGTAAGTAATAGGTATGGTAAAATTCGGGTTGGGTCAATATCAAGTCGGTTTTAATTTGGGTCAGGTCAATAACAAATCTGGTTGATTTTGGGCCGGGTTTGTAACAGGTTGGGTTAAATTCGGGTTAGGTTAGGAATGGGTCGGGTTGAATTCAGGTCAGGTTAGCAACATGTCGAGTTAAATTCGGGTTTTGACGGGTTAAAACGGGTTTGGGTCAATTTCGGTTCAAGTCGGGTTCGGTGGAAGTTAATTAAATTGGCTGTTGTAAACCGGTAAATCGGTGCAAGTTGTAAACCGGTAAATCGGTGCAAGTTGTAAACCGGTAAATTGGCCGTTTAAAAGCAAATTGAATGGTTCCACACACCCAGTTGGACTCCTGGAGGGTATTGGTGACCATGGTAAATATTTCGGAAATTTTTATTTCCGAGCGAAAAAAAGTCAAAAAATTTCAAAATTGAAGGCTAATATCCACGCTTTTTGAGAAATGTCGGAAGTTTCGGGCCCGATGTCGAAAAGTCTTGAAATTCTATGGGAACATCTCGGGGGTCATATAATGTCGTTTGAAATCATATATGATCATTATTTGTTGTCATAAATGCTCTTGGTAAGCTTGAATTAATAAAATCGGTGCAAGTTGCAAACCGGTAAATTGGTCGTTTAAAGGCAAATAGGATGGTTCCACCCGCCCAATTGGACTCCCGAAGGATATTAGGGACCATGGTAAACATTTCGGCCATTTTTATTTTTGGGCCAAAAAAAATTAAAAAATTGCAAAATGGAAGGCTAATATCCACGCTTTTCTGAGAAATTTTGGAGGTTTCAAGACCCAGTGTAGAAAAGTATTAATATTTTAGGGCATACATCTCGGGGTCATATAATACGGTTTGGAATAATATATGATCATTATATGTTGTCATAAATGTTCGTAGTAGACTTGAATTAATGAAATCCGTGCAAGTTGTAAACCGGTAAATAAATTAGCCGTTTAAAGGCAAATTGGATGGTTCCTCCAACCCAATAAGACTCCCGGAGGGTATTAAGAACCATGGTAAACATTTCGGCAATTTTTATTTCCGGGGGAAAAAAGTTAAAAAATTCCAAAATTGAAGACTAATAACCACGCTTTATGAGAAATTTTGGAAGTTTCGGAGCCCGGTGTCTAAAAGTTTTGAAAATTCAGGGGATACATCTTGGGGTCATATAATGCATTTTGGAACCATATATGATTATTATTTGTTGTCATAAATGTTTGTGGTAGGCTTGAATTAATGAAATCGGTGCAAGTTGTGAACCGGTAAATTGGTCGTAAAGGCCAATTGAATGGTTCCACCCACCCAATGGGACTCCCGAACGGTATTAGGGACCATGGTAAACATTTCGGCAAATTTTATTTCAGAACGAAAAAAAGTCAAAAATTTCAAAATTGATTAATCCACGCTTTTTGAGAAATTTTGGAGGATTCAGGGACCGGTATCGAAAAGCTTTAAGATTCTAGAAAATAAATATTGGGGTCATATAATGTTGTTTGGAACCATATATGATCATTATTTGTTGTCATAAATGTTCGTGGTAGGCTTGAGTTAATGAAATCGGTGCAAGTTATAAACCGGTAAATAGGTCGTTTAAAGGCAAATTGGATGTTACACCACCCCAATTGGACCCCCGAAGGGTATTAGGGACTATGGTAAACATCTCGGTAATTTTTATTTTCGGGCGAAAAAAAGTAAAAAAATTCCAAAATTGAAGGCTAATATCCACGCTTTTTGGGAAATTTAAGAGCTTTCGGGGCCCGGTATCGAAAAGTATTAAGATTCTAGGGAATACATATTGTGGTCATATAATGTTGTTTGGAACCATATATGATCATTATTTGTTGTCATAAGTCTTCGTGGTAAGCTTGAGTTAATGAAATCGGTGCAAGTTGTAAACCGGTAAATTGGTCGTTTAAAGGCAATTTGGATGGTTCCACCTACCCAATTGGACTACCGGAGGATATTAGAAATCGTGGTAAACATTTCAACAATTTTTTTTTCTGGCGAAAAAAGTAAAAAAATTTTAAAATTGAAGGCTAATGTCCACTTTTTTGAGAAATTTTGGAGGTTTCAGGGCTCGATGTCTCAAAGTCTTGAGAATTTAGGGAATACATCTCGGGGTCATATAATGTTGTTTGGAACCATATATGATCATTATATGTTGTCATAGATGTTAATGGTAGCTAGGCTTGAGTTAATTAAATCGGTGCAAGTTGTAAACCGGTAAATTGGTCGTTTAAAGGCAAATTGGATGGTTCCACCCACCCAATCGGACGCCCGTAGGGTATTAAGGATCATGGTAAATATTTCAAAAAAAATTTATTTTCGGGCGAAAATAAGTCAAAAAATTCCAAAATTAAAGGCTAATATATACGCTTTTGAGTAATTTTGGAGGTTTCGGGGCCCTTTGTCGAAAATCCTTAAGAATAAGGGGATACATCTCGGGGTCATATAATGCGGTTTGGAACCGTATATGATCATTATATGTTTTCATAAATGTTCGTGGTAGGCTTGATTTAATGAAATCGGTGTAAGTTGTAAATCGGTAAATTGACCGTTTAATAGCAATTTGGATGGTTTCACCCTCCTAATTGGACTCCCGGCGGGTATTAAGGACCATGGTAAACATTTCGACAATTTTTTTTTCCGGGCGAAAAAAGTAAAAATATTCCAAAATTGAAATCCATGTTTTTTGAGAAATTTAAAATGTTTCAAAGTCCGGCGTCGAAAAGTTTTGAGATTGTAGGGGTTACATATCGGGGTCATATAATGTCGTTTGGAACCATATATGGTTATTATATGTTGTCATAAATGTTCGTAGTAGACTTGAGTTAATTAAATTGGTGCAAGTTGTAAACCGGTAAATTGGTCATTTAAAGGTAAATAGGATAGTTCCACCCACCCAATTGGTATCCTAGAGGATATTAGGGATCATGGTAAACGTTTCGGTAATTTTTATTTTCGGGCTAAAAAAAGTAAAAAAATTTCCAAAATTGAAGGCTAATATCCATGCTTTTTGAGAAATTTCGAAGGTTTCGGGGCTAGTGTCGTAAAGAAATGAGATTTTAGGGGATACATCTAGAGGTCATATAATTCCGTTTGAAACCATAAATGATCATTATATGTTGTCATAAATGTTTGTGGTAGGCTTGAGTTAATGAAATCGGCGCAAATTGTAAACCGGTAAATTGGTCGTTTAAAGGCAAATTGGATGGTTCCACCCACCCAATTGGAATCCCGGAGGGTATTAGAGACCATGGTAAACATTTCGGAAATTTTTATTTCTGGGCAAAAAAAAAAAGACAAAAAAATCAAAAATTGAAGGCTAATATCCACGCTTTTTGAGAATTTTTGGAATATTCGG